ATTTGGCACCGGTTGGACTCAGGGGTCTGGGAGGTCTTTTCCARCCTCAGTRATCCTGGGATTCTATGCCTGTAACACTTCAGCAGCAGGGAATTCTTTGGGTGTAGGAAATACCCCTCTGGAGACAGACTAAGCTAAACTGGGAAGGGAGGGACCAAATCCATGCTCTGGAGGTGGTGTGTCCCAGCCCTGCCTGGCAGGTGCTGAGGCTTCCCCCGAGGTCAGACAAATGCCACGTGTGTCTGCTCCAGCACTTGTGCCTTGTCAGCCTGGGGCAGGTGGTGGCTGGGCCTGGCAGGCTGGAGATCTCTGTATCCAAACACCATTTTGAGGCCATGGAGCAGGATTTGTGTGTCCACATCCCAAAGGAAAGCAATCCAGGCACCCTKCTCTGGTTTGGTGTTGAATGTCCTCTGCCAAACCCTAGTGCTGTTACTGTCAGGTGTTGTTTGTCCCCTGCCATGAAAGCTGCAGCCAGGCACTGCTATTTCTGAGTGGAATTTGCAGTTGGATGCCAGAGGTCTGCAGATGGCCGTGTGGCCAGCTTCTGGGCAACCTCCTTCTGTAATGGGAGAAGGGGAAATGGGGCCCTAGGGAGTGTTCACGGAGGTGTCTGTTCCTGCTTTGCTTCCTCTGTTGGAGAGGGGCTTTGGAGATGGGTCTGGAGGGACAGGACACAGGGAATGGCATCCAGGACACAGGCAATGGCAGGGATGGATGGGATATTGGGCAGGAATTGTTCCCTGGGAGGGTGGGGAGACCCTGGCACAGGGTGTCCCTGGATCCCTGGCAGAGTCCAAGTCCAGGTTGGACAGGGCTTGGAGCATCCTGGGACAGTGGAAGATGTCCCTGCCCATGACAGRGGGTGGCACTGGATGGGCTTTGAGCACCCTTCTCACCCAAACCATCCTGGCATTCGCTGATTCTGAGCGAGGGCACAGCTCTGCAGCTTCCCGTGTCCTGGCAGTCGCAGCCAGCTCCGATGGTTTGTCCCTGCCTTTCTGTATTCCAGTCATGTGCTCTGCTTTCTCTGTAGCCTTTCCTCACCCAGCCTTGTCCGAGCTGCTTTGATTCCATGTTCTGSAGCTCTACCCCTGTGCTGTACCAGTGTCTCTGGTGCCATGGAGCCCCTGATGACCATTCCCAGGGTTGTGATCCCTGTGTGGCTCTTTGATCCAGGTCCCATCAGAGCAGGGAAGGTGCTCGAGTAGATGTGTAGGAGGTTCTGGCTGTG